AAACGCTATATATATAGGGACTCTAGCCCCGCTCAGCATTTACCCCTCTTGCCGCTCGTCCCTCTTTGCGCATGTGTGAATATTACTTGTGAAGTTTTGACAAGTCGACGACAAATTTTTAATCATGCCAAGTTATTTCGTGAGAAATTGTAAAAATCGGACGAATTATATATTCAGCAAAAAAGTGAGATATTACTCGTTTTCTCAAGATTGGATTTTAATGTATTTTATTTATTTTATTTTATTTTATTTTTGAATTTTTAATGCAATAAAATTAATATAATAAATTTTAATATAAATATAAATACTGTTTTATTTTCAAATAACTTACTACATTTATAATTGGCGCGTTTCCTTATCAGGCAAATTTGATTGGTTGAAATTTTAAGTCGCCGCCATATGCGCAATACTTCACCTTAAATATTCTTTACACCATGGTCAGGATATTCCCTCTCCGCTCCCCGGAAATGGAAAGTAGATAGTCGCGGCAGATAACTGGTTGGCGTCGTAGAGAGGTTTTTACGTCAAGGTGGGTCGGTCACCTGGAGATAACTGTAAAATGTCATTGGCGAATGTGTGTCAGGCATGGATTTGACGCCGCGTATTACGATGACGCCGCTGGCTGCCTGGCTCACGATCGTCTTGTCAATTATGCCGCCGCGACGTTCCTGAAGACGAAGGAAAGCAGTCGCGTCGCACGTCCGAGTTCCCACTTCGTTTGAAGCGCACGAGGAAGTACGTAAAGAGTCACGATTTCCAAAGTCGGAGAATCGTGCGATATGCGTGCACTTTGTCGCTCGATCTTCTCTTCTTTTTATTTCGCTTTGCAACAATTTGTGCAGCCCTAAACGTACCGGGCGTATTGTAAAGTCGATGACGAAGTTCCTTCCGTACCGGATAATCCGCATAATCGAGGATATTTTTTGGCATCTGTGGAAGATTATCACTCTTCTCGAGTCATTAGATTCCTCTATTACTTGACTATCAATTTCCTAAGAAGTTGTCAAAGCGATAAATAATATTCCATTGGAAAAGATTGACGTGTAAATTGAGATTATTCGTGTAAAAATTCTTCTATTAATAACACCTTTGTGGAAAATTTCTTGGCATTATGACGAAATAATAAGTAGCTTGACTATTTTTAGTTATAAATAGCACGATAACTGCGAACATTTATTTACTTGTGCTTCTTGAACAATTTATTGCATATTTATTTTATAATTTACATATATTTGAATGTTATACTGAATGTGTGTATACATATTTACTTTATTTTATTCTTTATCTAAGATTATATCTCGTTCTTTGCAAATATAGATCTTAGTTTTTTTTATAATTAACATTTTTCTCCATAGAGTTAAGTTCCACAAACTTAAAGAAGAAGAAAATAAATTGTGATAACTTTTTTCTACTTTAATAAGATTTATTTGATAAACTCATGATTAAATTTTAAAGAAACTCAATTATATAATGTATGCATTTATTAATTTATATGTATTATGTATATTGTAGGAAAAAATCTCAAAGCATCATGGAGGGGACAGAAGTTACATTTTTATTCCAATTTGGTCTGACTCGTGATACGGTCACTGTCGACAGTAGCACGCTTACTCTTAAGGCCCTGAAAGATCTCGCCTGTGATTTTATAAACACCAAGTGTCCGGAGCATGGCTTAAACCATCTATTTGAGAGATTAATTTTATTTAAGCATGATTACAACTCTACAAATGTTTTACAGCTTATTACAAACGCTACAGAAGTAGTTGATGAAACACTGGTAGAAATCGTGTTGACTGGTGAGTAAAATACTTTATATTGCAATAGTTTTTAAGTTTCAATTTTTTATATGTTTACGAATTATATATATAATTATTATGACGATAAAAGAAAGTGTCTTTGATATTTTTAGCACAAGTGCCAAGCGAATACATTCCCATTCGTCCTCATGCTTTAGCAGTACATTCCTATAAAGTTCCAACCTTTTGTGATTTTTGCGGTGAAATGTTGTTTGGACTTGTTCGACAAGGTCTAAAATGTGAAGGTAAAGTTACAAGATAATTATGATCAAATTATAATGTAATTTTTAAAATACTTAAAATACTCAAATACATTTTTAGGTTGTGGTATGAACTATCACAAGAGATGCGTTATCAAAGTGCCGAATAATTGCACACAAGACGTAAGTCAGAGACGGCGTAGTTCAACTATGTTGAATGTTCCAAGGTCGCCGAGTCAGGGTTCCACTAGCAGCCTGACGAGCATTACTGACGATAATCACAGTTCAAATAGTAACACACCTAACACAAGCCAAAATAATAGTACACTGGTATGAGCAGAAGTATACACATATTATTTGACTTTAATTTTATGTATACTTTTTTTGAAAACAAATAAATACAATGCACATTTTTCTTATTCCTTTTTATTTACAAAATTCTTTGTGTGTGTATGAATAAATATATACTATCTTGTAGGCGATACCGAGTATAATGGCGCCGAAACAGTCCTCTTCGCCGTCGCTAGGAGGACGGCCCGTTTGGGTCGAGCGTGAACTCGCAACGCGAATAAAAATTCCGCATACATTTGTAGTACATACTTACACACGACCAACTGTATGCGGACACTGTAAAAAGTTGCTAAAGGGTATATTTAAGCAAGGCCTACAATGTAAAGATTGTCAATACAATACGCACAAAAAGTGTATGGACAAAATACCAAAAGACTGTACAGGAGAAAATCTGCGCGACAATATAGGTAGAATAAATATTACTTTACAATACACAAAGATATTTTTTAGTTTTATATGCACAGGTGTGACAAATTTAAGATGCTTTCGCAGGCGAATATCTAGACAGCGGCGTTGGCAGTGAGCTAGAAACCAAATGTGATATTAGGAATGAAGAAGCTGACGCTGACAGTGACACAGAATCGTCGTCTTTGCCACAGGACACATTTGCAAGTGATGAAAATAAAATACCCGATGATTATATCGTAAGTTTATTTTCTCTTAAGCGGAATAACAAAAATTTTTGAAGAAGCTTTCACAATTTGTATGTTTACAGGATCATGCACAGAGTAATGAAGACGTTGCTTGCGATGAAAATCAGAAGTCACGACCGTCGAGGTAAGCTTTTATTGCAACAATTCGTTCTTAAATTTTACTTTTATTCTAAGCATGTTTTATGTTTTCGCAAAACCATCGCATTTAAAGTATTATTTTTATAACATTGCTTTTTTTTTTAATTTAAGCTGTAGTTCCACACCAAGTAACAACATTCCATTAATGCGGATAGTACAAAGCGTAAAGCATACTAAAAGACGTGGGTCTAAAGTGTTAAAAGAAGGTTGGATGGTGCATTTTACAAATCGCGATCCTGTCGTGAGTATTCACCAAAGATGCTGTGATGCAGTTTCCATTTTTTCATATTATTTAAATTTGAAGTCAAATAGAAATACGCAAACATTTTGTTTCATTATATTGTATGCATTATATTGTAGCTTTCTATCTTTTTCTATTATTTAGTCATTAATTATATACAAATTATACATTTTTTTTTTTCAGAGAAAGAAACATTATTGGCGACTTGACACAAAGTCTATAACGCTATTCCAAAGTGAAAATGGATCTAAATATTACAAGGAAATACCATTGGCTGAAATTAGCGCAATCGAAACTGCTAAAACGCCTCGTTCATGTACGTTCTTGCTTTTAAATTGGTTAAAATTTATTTCAGTTTTAGTGCATTTTTCTCTTTTTTTTTTTTTTCTATTTACTCGTGATTTTATGTGTCATCGAGCTAACGAGCTTTCTTCAGTTGAATTTTTTACACCGCCTATTTTACATTGTAGATATAATGCATTGCTTTGAGCTAAAAACTGCCAATATCGATTACTATGTTGGAGAGGATCCATCATATGGACAGAATTGTGGCCAAGTCTCTCCTCCCGAGAGCGGTATTGGAGCTCATATAGCTAGATCGTGGGAAACTACTATTAGACAAGCACTTATGCCTGTAACTGTGTCAACTAGTATGTACATTTGGTTCGCTATAGTGACATTCTGTATGAAAATAATAGCACAAGATTTTTTACGCTTTTACTATATTACTTTATATTTTATATTTTTAATATATTATTTAATTACTCATATATGAAAAAAGTATCAAGGTGTTAGTATATTGTTTTTCTTTGAAAATACAACAGAAAAGGACAAAGAAAGCTACGCTTATGTTACAGATCAAGAAGAATCTAGCGAGCCTGAGGAAAACATTACCGACATGTCACAACTGTATCAGATCTTCCCAGACGAAGTTTTAGGCTCCGGACAATTCGGCATAGTCTACGGGGGTGTTCATCGCAAGAGTGGCCGTGCGGTCGCCATAAAGGTCATCGACAAACTGCGTTTTCCCACCAAGCAAGAGGCTCAGCTGAAGAACGAAGTGGCCATCTTACAGAATCTGTCGCACAGCGGAGTGGTGAATCTGGAGCGTATGTTCGAGACGCCGGAGCGGATATTTGTGGTGATGGAGAAGCTGAAGGGCGACATGCTAGAAATGATCCTGAGCTCCGAGAAGGGACGGCTCAGCGAGCGGATAACCAAATTCCTCATTACGCAAATTCTCGTTGCGTTGAAGCATCTCCACAGCAAGAACATCGTGCACTGCGATCTAAAACCGGAGAATGTGTTGCTCAGCAGCGACACGGACTTTACTCAAGTAAAACTGTGCGACTTCGGATTCGCGCGAATAATCGGCGAGAAGAGCTTCCGGAGGAGCGTCGTCGGCACACCGGCGTACTTAGCGCCGGAGGTTTTACGAAATAAAGGCTACAATCGTTCCTTGGATATGTGGAGCGTTGGCGTGATTATTTACGTATCATTAAGCGGCACATTTCCGTTTAATGAAGAAGAGGATATTAACGAACAGATTCAAAACGCTGCCTTTATGTACCCGCCGACTCCGTGGAAGGAAATTTCGAATGATGGTAGTTAAGCCTTCTATTAATTTTTAATTAGTGATTTACTTTCGGCGAAATATGATATTAATATAATGTCCGTCGTTTCCATCTTTCAGCTATTGACTTGATCAACAATCTACTGCAAGTTAAGCAAAGGAAAAGATATACCGTGGACAAAAGCTTGCAGCATGTGTGGTTACAAGTAAGCACGCATTGTTATTTAATTTGTTTACTTCAATTGTTATTGAACATTAATTTTTTTTATTCTTATTAATAATTTAATTTAATTTTAGGATTATCAAACGTGGTGCGATTTGAGGAAATTGGAGCAGAAAGTTGGCTATCGCTACTTGACTCACGAAAGCGACGACGCGCGTTGGATGGCTTACAGTAATCAAGAGACATGACAGAACTGCTCACCTGTTCTGAACATCGAAGAATTACCAACTTCCTTGTCATTCCACAAAGGCTGGGCTCGATGTGCTCGAGCTACTCTACGGCGTTTTATCCGTGCCTGACTCCGTAAAAGTATGTGAAAGCTAGTACAACTTCATCTCATCTCGGATTATTACGCAATATATCCTAGATATGTTACTCTTCGCGTAGTTTAAAAATGTATTCAATACATCTGCATTTCGAGATACTGCTATTTCCTCCGAAATACTTAAACACAATATTCAGAACGCTTCCATAATTTTAACATTCCTACAAAGATGTAGCACAAGAAAATGTCTGTCAAGCTAACTCTCCTACCACAAAAAAATTGAAATAAAATTCTTATACTGAAATGTAGTGCTACTTAGGTGCTAATTTGGGGTGTTAAAAATATAAAGTTTTTTAACTTGTAAACAAAAGAATCTTAAAAGTAGGTAAGATTTTATAGAATTATATATATAGAATTTTATAGTTTTTTTCTTATAATTGTTATTTTTTATAATTTGTGGTATATTTTTGTTAGCTCATATATTTTAAACTATAACATAGATTAATTTTGTTTATAGCTTCTAAAAGCACTAAATGGTGTGTATTTATTTAAAAATTTTTTTATATTATTTAACCAGTTGAGTGGTAATGTCTCATATATGTACAAAAAAAAGTGCCAAACGTGATAATGTATCATATATGTACATTTCTAAATAACTCCACTAATTTTCAACAGATTTGCACAAAACTTGATATCCTAAGGTTTTTTGGGCTGCTGAATTCGAATCTGTTGTCAAAATTGCAAAATTCAAAATGGCGGATCCAATATGGCGACTATTAATTGTTAAAACGACTAAAATATTGGAGTTAGGTAAAATATGTATAAGACTTTATTTGTAGAGCTTTTTATGAGCTTCATTTTTTGTTTGACAACTTTTTCCGTATAGTAATACTTTCTGAAATAATTAACAAAAACAGTTTTATTTTTGAACCTTTGAGGGGGGCTGGGGGGCGGAGGGGGCATTTGCGCCAAAAATCCATTTGGAAATATTATTTACTAGATAAAATAAGTATTTAGGCTGAATATAAGCCAAATCAGAGGTGATAGCTTTTCGGAAATCCACCCCCCTTTTTTGATTCACCTCCACTTTTGACTGGAAAGTCATAGTAAACATTTTCAAAAATGTGTTCTTGTCTTGAAACGCCCTTTCAAATGATCCCCACTCGATTCATAGTGCCATTTAACATTTTTCATCCCTATTCTGCCCCCAAGGCGTGGGGGGGGGGAGTCCACATCCATTCTGAAAAGTTGCTTTATCGAAAACTTTGAACCCATGTTTCACTGTATTTCGATATTTTAACTTTTGGCTCTTACCACTTTTGACACAAATCTTTCGGAAAAGTCTACCACTTAACTGGTTAATGGTGGGGGTGCTAACTTAACGTCAAACTAGCACCTCCATTAAAATTAAAAATAAAGCATCAAATTAGCACCTAAATAACGCTAAATTTCAGTATAAGTTTTATTTCAATTGTTTGTGATGGGAGAGCTAGGCTGTTCTCTTCTTCTCTTGACAGACAGAGAATTCTGATTTGCGATATATTATATGTAAAGATAAATAAACGATAGTAAAAAAAAATGCTCTATGGACAATATAATTGTTCATGAAATATTTAGATCAATAATAAATGCCACATTTTATATTATATATATATATATAATATAAAATATATAATATAATATATATATATAAAATATATAATATAATATATATATATATATATAATATAAAAATGTGGCATTTATTATGTATATATAAGAGTAACTTATATATATAGAAACGGTAATTATAAATATTCTTTTAAATAAAATTTGAAATAATATATTTCAGATTTTATTCGGACTTATAGAGATATTTATATATAATTATTGTCTCTACGTAAGTTATTTGAAAATTGCTTTCAAAAACAATATAGACGTTTGTATTGTTTGATTTAAATGGATGAAATTATTTTATAAAACATTTTAGATCACGTTTTCTAAATTTATTATTGATTTTTTATTGCCATTTTTAGAATTGTTTTTATTATAAATACAAAGTGTATTTATAAATATTTGTTTGTACTTAAAAAAAGCACAAATAAATATTCTCTCTTTTATCGGTAAAGTTTATTCAGGTGTTATTGTTATAATAATAAGTTTAAAAGGTTGATTCCAAAAGAAAATATGAAAAGAGTTACTTATATATATATATATGTAGTATATATTTTATTAATTTAAAAAATCTAATTTTTAATATATAATGATAGTTTGTATTTATTCATAATTTAGGGTTCGCATAGTGAATAATTGCAGCTAAGAACTTTATTTTTGCTTGTAACAAATTACTAATGGTAGTAATTCTAAAATTACTAATATAACTAACTTATGCATAGAATGTTACATTACTAATGAATTAATGTTGAGTGCATATGAATTTTAAATAACGCGTACGAAGATTTTAATTAATAAGATTTTGACACAAATTATTTGAGCATGTATTAAAAAAGCTATGATCTGTACTTTTGAATCTCGATTACAGATCTTTAAATCTTGTGTAATCATTGATATTAAGATTTACAACACATCATTGCATGTAGAATACTGCAACAACTCGATATTAATCAATTAACTTGTATTGCGATATAATTTAAATATTTTTATATCCTTTTTACATCTTTAATTGCTATGTATTATATCATAATTTTGATAATTTTGTTATAAGTGTTTAAAAAAAGACATTCCAAATTTATAGAATAAAAGATTTTATCAAAATTTTTAAAGGTTTTATCAAAACGAAAATTTGACTTCTGTGTATACATATATTTTAAGATTATAGCTTTTGTGAGTATTGCTTCTAAGAGATTGATATTATGTAATTATAATGCATGTTAATTTAAGATGTAGTAAGAATTGTAAAACAATGAAATGTATTGGTATTTCAATTTTTGTGTCGCAATTGATAAATCATTGTTTAATTATTTGTAAGGCAAGATTTATACTCAAAGGAAAAGAAACGTTTGCTTTAACTCTATTATATTAATGTGTAATTTTTGTAGTTGATTTGATTCTTGTGTAAATTATATAATATTAGAATTGTTATATGAAATATGTACTTAATGCGATGAATATGCGTTTATATATTCTCTCGTTCTAAAATTTATTTATCATTGTTGTGAAACGATGATTGTGCATCAGTCAATATAAAAGGAGTGAGATTGATTTGAGATAGAGCAAAAAAAATTTAGTATTATATACAAATTATGAAGGTGACGCAAGAGCTTTGTTTACTGAATAAACTTAATAAAAAATAGAATTACTCAATTTCGAAATAATTTTCATTAAATAAATCGGTCACACTATTGTTTTCAATATAATATTTTTTCATCTAGAAAGTTTTTTCAATATCCAGATTAATAATTTTATTTGAAAAGGAAAAATAAAGCTTTTGCATCAACCTAATAGTTAATTTATTCAAATTAACATATTTGCAGTACTTGACAGTTAATTAGCTGATAGAAATATTGCAGTTAAGATCGATCCTGAGGGAAAGATTAATCGTAAAGATATTCTCGTATCATAAATTGGCATTATACCCTTAAAATATGGCCTATATCTTCGACAAATTTACAATTCGTAGTATAGAGAATCCTTTCATTTTATATCACGTAACGCAACAGATTACGATTTTTACATTTCTCTCGTAAGCGCAGTAAATATATAAGATATATAATACAAAATGACGATAAATTTAAAAGGGGGTAGTCAATACCTGTAACATAAGAGATATAAATAGGCGTTAACAGGCATTAATTGTTATATTTTATAACAATTTTTAAAAGTTTATTGTAATCTTACCCATAGAGTTTCTTAGATCGATGTCTATGCGTATATATTACACACATGTTGTATACTTAAGAATTTACTTATACAAATGTAATCTCTAAGTCCTACGATTAGCGTCCTGCTCACAAAAATGCATTTACAATACTCAGCAGCATTTAAATTTCCTACGTATACAAAAAAAAAGAGGGAGGAAACTTCAGCGTAGAAACAAATGATATCGTAATCTCTTATATTTGCCACATATATATTAACTTTGTGCTTTTACGCGTTTGTGGTTTGAAGGCAGGCTATACCATATATATATATATATATATATATTTATAAGCAATGTTCATATAATACTTAAGATTTATATTGACTCGTGTAATATTATATATACACAAATACGATTTATATTTTATTTCACATTTTAAACAAAGAGAGTTGATACTTTTTAAACAAAATATCCATTATAGATCATACGTACATTATTCATTCCGATATTAAAAAAAAAAAAATGTGTTACCATAAAATGTAAAACGTTCGAACGATGCGGATCACCGGCTATTATGTACTTACGATTAGTGCCAGAATTTATATGTTCTCCTCTTCGAGTAGTGGTCATTAATGATCAGAGATAGTGCGACTAGATATGCGTGTTTTTTCTTCATATAATGCCTTACTGTAAATATTACAAAAAAAAACGCAAGAACATCACACGGTGAAATTGTGCGTAGTGGCGCTCATTTCGCAAATTCACAACTTTTATAACAACAATTTTTTCGTAGATCAGTTATGTAACTATCCAAAAACGAAATAAAATGATTTCTTTTGGATGAAATAAATTTTTTGATAAGAAACTTTCATGATTTATGTCTGGTGAATACGTTTCTCCTGAAAAAAAGAGGCCTTTCTTCGAGAAAATCAGGCTGCATTGACATTAATATAATAAAAGATGAATTATAATAAATAATAATAAATAAATGTCATGCGAAATAAGTCACGGTAAATAAGCCATAGTAAAATATAATGTGTAAGCAACGCTTTTTGTATCCGTTCCCGATGCATGAGCATCATCAACCGTTTCGTTCTCTTTAATCCTAACAGAACATCTCTGCTGGAAATAATAATGTCCTCTGGCGCATGTCACCTGCATCGTGTCCGCGTACATCGTCAATTTCCGAATTACGAACGCGCAGTAGCGGCCGGGAAAGTTGACGTATCAGTCGTTTTGAGACAGTGCATCCGCGCTAAGAAAATGAGATGTATCTTCTCCGCGAGATGCGTATATAAATATAATAAATAGTATAATATTGTTCGCAAATATGTTTGCGAATAGTACGCTTTGTGCTTTGTGTCTCATAACACTTTTTCTAAACATTAACGTGGCAGAATGGGTGGACATGCCACAATTCTCGGATGAGAAGAAAATTTACAGGTAAAGTTTGACATATTACACTGTCGAAATTATTTTGCATTTAACGCTTAATCTCTTTAAGGATACCTTCTGTACAATATGATCAGTTTTACAAGATTAAACGAGGTGATGCGGATGGTGCTAGTTTTCCGGACGATCAGCAAAACGGTAGCGAAACTTATCACCGTCCAGTTAAAGTTACATACGTGATGGACGATAAAAAAACAGAAATTCAAAAAATCAATTCTATCTCAGTGCCGACAACGCCGGCAAATTTATTTCGTGATCAAATTGTTGATAGTTTCACAGAGTTCCATAAAAATCATGCTGTAACAAACATTGATGCTGTGACTGAGGTAACAGAAAAATGTTCATATGACAAACAGCAATAAAATATAATGCAATTGAATATAATGAAAAAACAATATACATACCTATATATAATATATATATAATTGTTTTGTACACGTTTTTTGTTCTTTATATAAATATATAAATATATAATATATATATATATTTCAAACACTGTAAATAATATAATTTTCCTATTTTAGAATAAATTAATTAATAGATATCATACAACATCACCAACAAAGGATACATTTGACATATTTGCTACTCAACCACCGTCGACTACAACACAGAAACAAAAAATCCTGCAAGATGAATATTACAACGATACACTGAAGCAAAACGATGGTATATTTCAATATTTGCCCATAGATATACTTAAGAGTGTTCACGACACTCTACAATCGCAGCCAATGTCATTCGAAGGAAAACTTCACTTTCTTAAAATGTTTGAAAGGACACTGATGGCGGAAATAGGTAAGAAATTTCTTGCACGCTCCATGGCACAATATCGAGATATATCATTTTGATTTATATTTCTGTTTATCGAACAGAAACTCGCCTAGCCACTACTATGGCACCGAGTCGAAGGACAAGGGGCGCGGATCATTACGGGCACGACGAAGGTCATGACGACCATTCTATAGGATTTCCTTCGATAGAAGGCGCGCTAATGGCTATATCATTTCTCACTTTCGCGGTTTATCTCGTACGATTAGTGATGGTAAGAAATATTGCATATATATATAAAATGTTATTTTCCTAGCAATGAGTATTAAGTGCAAATCTACATCCTTTGATCGCTTTACATTCGTTAATACAATACTAAAAAATAACATCTTGCAGCTTCTCTTTAAAAACATGAACCCGATGCCTACTACGACTGCCGCTACGATATTTGTTGGCAAAAGAAAAAGATCTGTCGATCTCGACGACGACGCCATTAGGATACTTAATAATATGCACACTTTCGTTTCTGACTTATAAATTTTAACATGGTGTTCCTACTATCAATAACAAAACATATATCTATACCAGCTCTATGTGAGAACAAAAGTGGAATGTACATATCAGCGACGTATAAACACGTATTTCATCACTATACAATTAAGTACTATTACCGTTGTTACTATTGACACATCGAAGCCATCGTTTCACGATAAACAACCCTTATAATTTAGCTTGTATGTCCACCGATGATGTCAAAATGATTAAAGGAAGTGCCTCGGCATAAGTCGCCAAGGGACGTTGCAGCGGTAATTCGCGCAGTGCCTCGATGAGATTTGCCAATTTCGTTTTATCCATTTGATATGTATGTTCCTGAGCGGTAACGATGCCTTGCGACAATAAATTGGACCATACATTACTATAGAGATCAAGAGACAAGCAATATGGATGTTGACACCAGCCTTTACTCTCGAACATTAATTTTTCCACTTCCTTCTGCATTTCGACGAGAATCGTTCGATCTGTGAGTTCGTCCGATATTTTTTCTGTCCACTGAAAAAAATTTTTTTTAGACCAACGTACTTATACATTTTTCTACAGCAACACATTTAATGTCGCCTCTTATTAGTCATCAGATAATCTTGTATTCTTACCTCGAGTAATAAATTGCACATCACGTAAACAACGTCTATAAAAGGTAATATAACATTGTGTAAGATGGAAAACAATTTCGTATTATTTCCTGGAAAAATGGAGTCCTTCGCCACATGCAAGCAATCCTCTAATAGCAATATATTCAACGATTTTTCCCATTCCGCTTCAAGCAAGATTTTATCTTCAATTGGACGCATTGCAAACTCGGTGCTGAGCAAATTTCTCAATAACTCATATCGTCCCAAAGCTATTTCTACAAGTGTTGAATAAAATATTAAATTAATTTAAAAACATCAAGTTATATTAATTTAAAGTTTGTTCACTTTTTTCTTTTTTTTTTTATTTATTCATATAACACATCATATAAAAAAAATTTTTTTTTAATAATCTTATTTCCATAAAAAAAGAAAGTTGTAGTTGCTTATATTTGTATATTATTATTATAACATTATAATCGCTAATTAAAAAGAAAAATAAATACGTTATTAATTTGCAATTATTACCTTTCTGAATGCCATTATCGCCTATTGTAGCAGTAATAAAAGCTATTTCCGTGAGAAAAGCTAAAGTTGGATTAATATAAACTGCAACGTTAATAGCTGGCACTGCTAATTGCATAGTGCGTTCTGATAACAAATGACCTTTAATTTTTGAATGATTCGTTAATTTTAATCCTTTATGCCTTTGCTTGATTTTTAATGTATCAGATGAATCAAACACGATTAGCTCATCATGTGGCTTCAAGGATTTTAATATTTCCTGTTTGATCTTATCTTTATTATTACTGCAACAAATAAATAATATAATGTACTTTTAGAAATATTACAGTTGTTTATCCATACATCTGTAATTAAAACAACTGATATATGCAATAGAATAAATCTAGAGCTAAAATAATATGCGTGTATATTATAAAATATAAATTTAACACTTACATTTCTGCTTCATGCATTAACGTTTTCATTGACTTAATAAAAAAACTTTTCAGCCATTGATAGTCTTTGATCAATGAATCGAATGTATACGGCTCTTTTGGTTTGATCTGTATTCTTTCATTGAGTAGTAAAGCAATGACATTGATCGGCATAAGTACAGTATTCTTTTTGTGTGACTCTATTATAAGATAAGCTACGTTCTCCACAACTGACGACGGAACTTTGAACGAGGGATGCAGAATTTTCCTTTTGCGATATGCCGTATCTATATGCTGGCAAGCGGAAATTGGTTTCCCGATATTAAAGAAAATGCAACCGTGCGAGAAAGGCTTCTGCAGTATCGAAAGTGATCGGAAAAGTCCGGCCGTACTTTCTTTCGGCTTTGGAATTCCCAGTATTTCATAAACAAATAATAATTCCTCTGGTGGCCGTTCGTAACTGATACTCATAGGCACAAAATGTATGTCGGGTACATCACCTTGCAGTAGGCTTTCCAAAATAATGGACAAAAGACCTATAGAAGAATTATATAAGATCATAATTATCAGCTTGTAAATGTTACAAATGTTTTTATCACTTACCGTATTTTGGCACCGTACTCTTTTGACTACGACTCCGAGTGCCTTCAATGAAAAATTCTATCGCCCTATCACTGTGACTAACAATAGTGTTAATATAGGATCGGAAGACTTGTTTGTATAATAAATCATTGGAAAAACTACGTCGTATATAAAATGCTCCAGTTTTCCGTAATAACTCTCCCACTATCCTCATATTGTAAAAATCCATACCAGCTGCAATATTTGGTAACGCCATATCATAAGAAAAGAGAATGTACGACAGCAAAATAAAATCTAAATAACTTCTGTGAGATGGTACATAGATATATTGTATCTGAGATATTTGCGTTTCCTTCTTCAAGTTAGATAGAGTGATCTCATTTATATAAATTCTTGAGAACATCCTCTTCATAGCTTTTGTAATAAAAATACCTGAAATTTAAACACAAATATAACATATTTAATAGTGACCATAATATTTCAATAATACTTAATCATTAAATGTACTTAGAATAACAGTTATATTTTATTTTGAGAAACTCATGACAACAAATGCATAACATTTGATTAAAAAATGATAAATATAAATATACATTTATAGTATTTAATTCTCGGGATATATCTATAGATAACAAAATAAATAGTACATTACAAAAACATTTTAAAATATAATATATATTAAAACTTTTACCTAGCCAACGGACTGTAGCCAAATCTGCTTTGCTAGCCATTTCATTTATCATAGCACGAGCATTATCTTCAATATCTTTAACCCTAACACCTGTTGTTTTTGCTATTGTATCAATTGCAAATCTAACTTGTGTATCAAGTAAAACAGATTCTATTATTTTATTCCTATTGTAGACTGCTTCTGGTGGAAGCATATGTGGTAACAATGGATCCATAGATCGTGTTACCCATATAAAATCACAATCTTTTCGTCTCTCCTCCAGCAGATCCACAAATTCAGAGTTTTCCTCCATTTTTCAATCAATGAACAATAATGCACTCACTGATTTGTTGTACTTTATGAAATCATGAAATGAAAAAGGATTCGATCCTCCAAGATTTACACAAGTCATTTACATATTGATAAACATAACGTCACCTTCATGAATTTATGTATTTAAAATATTCAATTGCGAGTATGCAAATCTCTCGCTTCATTTTAATATCACTTGAGGTAGACTTAAATTTTAATACGAAAATTGTTTTGTAAAAAAAATTAATACAAAGATTCGACGGACGGAACAATAAATGACAAAATGGATTGTTCCTAAATAAAAATCGCATTTGCTAGTTGATGTTACAAATGAAAAGCTGTCTTTGGCTATCCCGTGACTTCTGCTGTTTTTAGTTACCGTCAGGAGGTCGTAATCAGTATCACCAGGCACTAGCATGCATATTCTGGGCTTCTCACGTATACAACGGAGAACCACGTCCGTGTGCGCTCGGTCGTTCGACTAATAGAAGAAAGCAAATGTACCGTTTCCTTTTTCTTTCTTATCTATTGAGACGCACCGCTCGGTTGCAATAGTTTTTCGTTGTATGCATGTGGAAGCCCAGGGGGTCAATTGTGAATCATGCTATGTAATGAAAATTACAAAAGTGAGCAAATTTACTAGGTTGTGGATCAATAAAATCATATAGCGTTTTCGAGTAAACGGGGTTTGAACGATCTAGGGTTGATCAATCACTATTTTACTATAAATGCAAGTCTTTCATTGGTGGAGAGGTTGCAATGACGCCATTAACCAATCTTGGGTCGTTCAAACCCCGTTTACTCGTAAACGCTATAAGAGGGACGAGCGGCAAGAGAGGCAATGATGATCTCATCGACGAACAATAGTTGTCTCTCTCGCACGCTTTAGTGTTTTCTCT